TTTTTTTTTTTGGCTTTCTTTTTTTGCTGAAAGATATTGCCATTTATAGTTATATTATATATTCGTCATAGAATATATTATATAGAATTTTTGCAACACTGTGACTTGGAACACGTCTCTAAAATTCAATAAGAAGGATCACGGCATAAAAAGAATCTCGTGCAACCTTCTCTGATGTTTCACCAACTTGTCTCGTCTGTAAAATTTTTTCGGGCACAGGCTGCAATGATGTTTCGGCTCTTCGATATGAATCTTCATGTGCGCCGCCAAATTATGCTTGTACTTGAACCAACCCTGGCATATCTCGCATTGATATTTTGGAGCCTGGCCGCATTCAACTCGTAAATGTCGCTTCAAGCAAGAGATCCTCATGTAGAAACGACTGCAATTCGGGCATTTGTACGTTAATTGTCCGCGCGTCGTTTGCACTGGTTGAAAGATGCCTCGATCCCTTGAATTCGATGTTACCGATATCGCCTGTTGCACCTCGATCGTATTTCTATCTGTTGGACAGAGCAGCCAATAACCTGAAACGGAAAGTAACGATGTAGAGAATGTTCGAGACAATCGTTAATAACGATGGCCGTATGTCGTATAAACGATAATAACATCCTTGCCTAAAAGACAGTCGAACTGAAAAATGATTATTATTTCGTTATTCAAAGATTTTGTAAATTTCGAAAAGTTTCCAACCAAATGGAATTCACTGGCTAACGAGTTGTAAATCAGAAACAAAAGTGTACAACGTAAGCAAACATATTGTGTAACAAATAAGAAGCACGTTGGAAAATATAGTTTTTTATTCATCGAGTAGAGGAAAGAAATCAAATTGCGCAAATTAGCAAGTAAAACAGAGAAACAAATTCATTTGACAATCGATGCGCACTTTTTCTCGCCACATCTATGGAAAAACAAACAATTATATACAAAATATACAATATAATTCTAGCATATAATTTCAGTCAACAACAATGATATATAATACAAACGGGTAGCGGTAAACTTTTCTCTTCATTTGGCGTGAAAATACATTGCATCGTTTCTTTTCCAATTTCGCTACAGGATTAAACTTTGATCTTCGATTAAGAACAATTGTAATCATCGCTGACACGTTGTTAAACACCATTAACATCTGATATTGTCTCACAAGACCAAACGTACTCCTCCACTGTGAATGTGAAATTTTTGAAAGATTGAATCGCGGACTTTTGAGATTTTGGCATTCATTCCTCAATGCAAAAGGCGTGATCGGCGATAACGGATAGAAGAATAAGATCTCTTTTTACGCATCCGAGACTCTGGCCTCGCCTGTCAAGCCGACTTCTTTTCGTGTTTAAATTTAGCCGATTTCTTCACGTCCGCCACGTGCACGTTATAGTGTCTTAACAAACTATGTTTATGCTTGAATTTCGCATGGCACAGTACACACTCGAACTGAGCTTCCTTCCCACACTCGAGTCTCTTGTGTCGCTGCAACGATATCACCCTTCTGTACTGCCTGCCACAGGTGTCGCAAGGATACGTCTCGAAACTGACTGGTAGCCGGCACCAATACGCTGAAAACAGAAATTCGCGGTTAGTCGGACGTTTGTTGGGAAATTTTGTTTCTCGATACCAGTAGAGCCGATGTGTTTGTCATCAATAACACTGTCTTTCAGTCATAGACCAGATGGCTAAGTTTTTCGCCTTGCTTGTAAATCATTAACGTGAAGGGGAGGGAGGGGGAAAAAAAAAAAGAAAGAAAGTTAAAAAAACATGGAGGTGTAGGAAAGTGGAATTACACTCTTTAAAAAATAACCCGCAACAAAGATTACTTTTTATTAATAATAATATTAATAATAATAATAATAGTAATAATATTAATAATAATAATAATAATAATAATAATGTTAATAATAACATTAATTGCTGATAATAATCGTAATAGATATTCGTAATATCCAGCTGATAAATCTATCAAAAAGTAGTTGGAATTGCTAAATATCGGAACGAGTATTCAAGAAGAATGGCTTGCATTCTTTTAATACATGGTTCATCATATGATAGGATTGAAATCAGGATGTTCAAAGACACGAGGGAATTCTGAACGCTTTCCTTTCAAATATTTAACGTCCTTAAAAGCTGGATACTTAAAATTGCGATTAGTTGATCGATTGGTCCTCGTGTCAAGCACGGTAAACGCAATCGCCTCGAACCTTGACGAACGGAAGGTATAAGGGCACGAGTATATTCTAAATGAGTTCGCAGGTCGATGCGAGCATCCGTAAATACTGATATCAAAAATACTGGACTTCGTCGTTTAGAAAAGTCTCCCAACGGGTCCTTTTTTTTTTTTTCCTCATTCTTTACACACATATATAT